CAAGAGTGGGGTAGATGGACTAAATAGCGATGAAATCAATGACTGATAGGTCGCAGGGGAGGTGCCCTCGAGTCTACTCAATATGTGTTGGTTATTAGTGTCGGCACTTTGTTGCATTCCAGATTTCGCAGCTGCAGTCTGCAGTTTCTCATTCATCTCTACATTACGGTTTCGCAAAAAACGGCGGATATTTAAATGCTCTTGGATCGCAAAGGTGCATCACTCACGTTATTATCAAGTATTTTCTGTCACACAAGTAAGTAAGATGATCAGCATCCGCTATATAAAGTGATTGCCATAAGACCAATTAGGTTGCGATGATTGTCGCAGAGGACTGATAATGTGAAGGGCCTGAGACAACGCTCAACAAGTGAAGTTAACTATCTGAAGGCCTGATAAAATATTTGACTCTATGTTTTCTGAGTAACCATGAGCGACAAAAACTTGTTTGTTCTAACAAAGCACACCTCTCTAATTGTAATCAACAATCATTTAGATTTCGTCTTCGTCCTAATTTTAGCCAATGCTCGCAATAGTTATTAGTAAATATCCAAGTTTGGATGCCCAGCAATGTTAGAAATAGGATGCAATGAAATACGCTTACATTCCATAGCCCTCTGAAACTGCACTAAGAAGGAAAAAAAGGCAATGCTCGTACAGAGTGCATGTATTCTACTCAGAGAAGGTATAGGTTACTGACATGGCCCAAGGGTCAGCCCACCCCGCGAAGTATAACAGCCAAAATAAAGTGACTTCGCAAAAAAAAATAGGGGATACACAACCAAAATAATACAATTAAGCGTTTAGACACATATTGGGTCTCGCTGATATGTAATTATTCTGAGATAAAATAAAGTCCCTTCTTATCTTTTTCGGGTGTAAGTATTTACAACTTCAAAAAAATTACGCTGTTATCTATTATTTTATTACAACTAGCCAATTTAAAATTATGAAACTTTTGTTTTTATCTTTGGATTGTGTGATCTGTGACCTTTGAGAAGGTCGGTTCCTATATATATAAAGACTAATGGAACGGAAAGTCTGCTACTCTTGAATGAATATGCGCCTCTGGGGCATAGGTTGTCTCTGCCTAACGCTTCTGGCGATCAAATGTCTATGCCAATCTAGTGGTAATTTTTCTTTCTAATTTGTGTATCTTGCATAGGTCTAGTATAATAATGGTCTTGATATCACACTTACGGGATGTTGTTTGGAGAATTGTAGCGATTTTGCAATAATTTACATTTACACTTTGCTGTTTTTTGCATTTTCGACGTCTTTAACCATAAATAAAAGTGTACGGCCATCGTAATTGAGTTTTAGTGCCCCCTACTCCATGCCTAAATGAAATGTCTAGTTAGCTGTACTTTGGTACTTTTCAAACTGCCAGAAGAATATGGAGTAAATAATTATACAGCTTCCAGTATAAACAATTAATTTTGTCATGGGCTAAAAAGTTTCAGTGAATAATTAAAATAATATTATCTGCTGATACTTGCAATATAGAGTAATATATTTTTTTAATAATATTTCCATGAATTTATACAAAGTAATCTTATTTTGGTGAAATCTGAAGATGATAAGTTTTTTTTGGTAAAATGTTTCTTTTGCATTTTTTTAAACAATGCTAGCGGTCTCACTATTACATGGCAACAGTATCAGATATACGCAGAATGTGGGTGCGAGGCGCATTTACTACTTTACTTCATATGATAAACGGCTTGCGTAAATTTTTTTGTTACAAGATTGCAGCTGTCAATATAAGACTAGGACTCAAATAGTCCAACATCCCTCGTATGCTCCCATTTGGTAGATCCCTCTTTTTTATTTCTATTTTCTGTTTTAAGTCGCATCAGATGCCAGTTACACTTCTAAAGCGCGAAATGCGCATATCACACAAAACTTTGTTTCTTTTAGGTGCCACCGAATCTTCAGACAGTATTAAATCTACCACGTAAGTTTTCTACCTCTTTTATCTGTTATGCTTTAAAATGACTAAAAGTTCAATTTTTCTTTAAACACTTCTCACGCGTCTAAACCACTCCATTTGTGTTGACCTTTTGGATTAATGCTACTAGCCATTTGGAAACCTTGCATTTCACCGACCTAACTGCGTAATGATTTGATTCAATGTCTGACATCGCACTCGATAAAGATTCTCTTAGACTTGAAAAAGTCGCACTTATCTTATCTAAAATAATCGTAAAAATTAGCGTGCAATGAACGTTGCATAAAGCCGATTTCACAGACTTGAATATTTATCCCAAAATATTCTGTATAATTCTTTTTAAATCTAGGGGAAAATGAATTTTTTGGGCAGTACAAGGAATAAAATTAAAGCTTGGCGGAGCAGTACCTCTATCTTTGTAATCAGGAGAGCATTCGTTTTGTCAGTCATGTTTTTTTTTCAAAAAACACAATCAGTTTCTCAGTTGTAGCTGTGCATACTCCATTGGAATATATCTTGACATCAAAATCTACACAAAGGGAAAAACGTAACGAAACGAAACTGAAAGTGGATGGTCTTGTATAGGGAGGCTAGCCACTAAATCGGAAACTGCATACAGACATACATACATTAGCGCTTGCATATGTAGATACACACACCTGCGGAGAAAGAGATCATGACAAAGGCGAGCACTTCAGTGTAGTCTGCGATTCTAACATTGATCACGACGCATTCGCTGTGAATAAAGAATAAATGCGAACCAACCAAACACATTCATCAACTCAAGTGGTTAGCTACTTGTGCAGAGCCACTGAAGTGTTAAGTCATTGATGGTACTTGGATCGTTTACAGAAATAAATGCACACAAAAATTCGTCGAATGCAGTGATAAGTTGAATATGCCCAAAATGTCTTTGAAACTTTCTTGACTATCATACAATTGAGATGATGGTTTGTATTCTCCTGCGGTTCACTTTCTATTGCCATAACATGGGAATCGCGTTTTAATCTTATAGTAATCTACTGTTATCCCCTAGAAAAAATTTGCAAATCTCGTCTGTGAGCATGGAGATTATTCCATTAACTCACCTAAGAATTGTAGAAATAAACCTAGGTTTGAAGTAAAGGCTTTGGACTATCGGTACTGCAGCTTGGTACAGGAGTGGAAAGATTTCATGTATTTTTCCATCTTTTTTAAAGTTGTGCCTTTTTCTTTTTGATAACCCTATGTGGACACCATCCGCACTGCCAGTCTTCTTTATAATTAATAGTGCATAGTATTTGATAGTGTAAGAACAGGGATAATGCTCAACCTAAACTCTTCACTACCCGAAACACAATCATACTCAAGCGGAGTCAAAACGTGGTGCTACTTAGTGCCATGCTCATCAGAGCTGGAGATTCCCTTACGAATGGCTAGTAGACAGTCGATATAATCAACGCCTTTAATTTAATGAGCGAATTGTGTAAGTTGTAGGGTGGGTCAGAAAAGGTGCTTTGAAATGACTGATGCGTAAGCGAAGGCACACAGGGTGGATATGTGCGGGGATTGCATTGGCTCTATTTTTAACAAAAACAAACACAAGCACATTGAAACTGCCAATCTCTTGTGCTATTAAAAGCTTCAAGACAGCATTCAGATGGTCGAGTGCTGTGAGAGCCGTGGAGCAACGCCTCAAGCACCTGTACTTTTGCAAATAAGTGCCCGCAGATAATTGAGATGCAGCAAGATTACGCAAATGTGTGCATTAGTTTTGCTTTCAGGTTCCAAGTAAAAGACTTTAAGTTGATCGTAGTGGTTCGACAAGCACGCCAATTAAAATAATCCATTTACCTAATCATCTTGGATATATTCTTGTCGAAACCGTTTGCTTCTTGATCCCAATGTTATTTTGAGGATAAATTCTTAGTTTTAGGTAAGGATTATACTGCTTCAGTACTATTTTTTCCCCTAGGAATTCATCCTGAAGTTATCTACTTTGTTAACTGTGTATTTATTTCAGCGATCACTACGTACCAGTGACAATGTTGCCGGTTAAAATAATTTCATGCGAATTTATTATGAAGAAAATCTAGTCAAAATATACGATTATGCTTAAGACGATACCAAATAAGATAAGAAGCCAAGCAAACTAAACTGGCATGAGCCTTTGTGCATCTTCTACTTTACAGATCCACCCCTTCAACAAAGCCTTCAGGTTTGCGCCCACTAAAACTAACATACCATAACTTAACACTTTTTCACTTTACTATGACGATGCAAATAGCAACTTTTATTTACGTTCAATAGTGTTCAAGGAATTTCCATTGCCTAAGGTACCGATTTAGAACTGCACACTGTCTGCAGTGGCGATTCGATTCGCCAAATTGAATAAAGTACGAATTTATCCAGTCCTGAATGTGTGGTGCTCAACTCATACAGATATCAGATGAAACAAGTGTAAGCACATCGAATGGGAATTACCAGAGGCAATTCTAAGATAATATGGGGCTATTTAAACCTGCATCACTATTTGTTTCTTCCCTTATCCCTCGGATAATCGCTGATGAGGGGCATTCAAGGGTGATTGCTGTATGGACGATGCTCAAAAGTAGGGGAATGTGTGACCGCAGTCAAGGAGCATGAAGGAGATCAACACTAGTTACTGGCAAGAAGTGCGTCTGTGGTCACAAACACTCCGAATTAGACGTCGTTTTAGGTGAAGTGTTACTGTTTTGTCAAGATGACGGTCTTGATTACACAGCATAGGCAGCGTCGGTGATAAGAATGGCATTCAGCACACTAGGAGTCCTCTGAAAACTTTTAATGAGGCATGCACAATTTTCGTGGTCCCAAGCGTCATAGCGGCACTATTCCAATCCAAGGTGGGAAATACATATATATATATATATATTGTCCTGTGTACTGGCCCCCATAGTAAAGACTCAGTAGAATCGTAATGCCTGTCGATAACCCTTACTTTGATAGGTCGTCTTAAATAAAAAAGTGATATTTCACAGGATGCCAGACACAGGAATGCTGAGTTTAGCTGAGCATAGCGATTTGAATGAGGGATGTGTAAATTCACAGAGCCGTTACGCGTAAACTGTATTGGACGAATTGGCCAATGTGTTTAAGTTGGACCGCGAAAATAGTGTGTAAAAGCTGCGCTCCACAACAGTGATGTTTACAGATTTCCTTTCCATCATACTCCTCCGCAAAGTTATGGGATCTACGAGGTGCTTCATGGTAAGTAGGGCAGTTACTCCTACATTCGATTCTCATTACTTAACCGTCTTTACATCTAATTTTTCTCACTTTTCATCAAACTATCTCTTTCTACACAACGGCTATTTTCAGAAATTGATGCTGTCTTCCGATCATTGCTTAGGTCTCCTTCCTCCTGGTTTTCTCTTCCATTCGTTCCCTCATACATTTCTTAATACTTTCTTTGCATAGGCGCATGATTGAATTCCATGATCTACCCTCAAATCGTTTTACTAGGTTGAGGACAGTACCATTTTTCCCACCAGTTAACGAATCCATCCTATGTTGGAAAACCGCAATCTCTGAGCATCAATAGAATTCAGGGTGACTCAAGAGTCTTGTGTGAAACCCAAATAAAATGAATAGGCACCTGCATTTTCCGCTCATAGACACTGGCAGAGGACTTCGTGACTAAGAGTAACCAAGTAGATAATGAAAATTAAACAGTGATTGGATCAGTGATCCAATGTAGTGACATTGAGCGATGCTATAATATGACGCCTCACACTATACACAGTCATCGTCGTGAGTTATGGCTGTCAGTGTTCAAAGGAGGAAAATGAAATGTAATAGATTGGAGCACGTTGCAACGTAACTGAATACATAGCTACATTTGGGCGTCTCCGTTCCTTCTTCACATTACTATGCGATAGTGAAAACACTAACATTTCCTTTGATTTAGTAAGTGGTTGTGATAATAAATATGCTCTTCTGCTGCAACAGGTTGCGCCAGAATTCAACATTTAGCAAATAAAGGCACCAAAACGATTGTATATTAATAAAATATTTACAGCTTAAAGAATGAGTGAATACACTATATAAGAAGGTCAACAGAAAACCTGCAAAATTTGGCAATGTTGAGGCCATACAATACATCTTTACTAATATCTTAGTAAAGATGACTGAGCAGGGACATGGCACGTGATTCAAGGTTACGCAATTTATAACAAGCGGACAAATGTCAGCGTGGGCAATTATTTTATAAACACAGCAGCCTTCGAATATGCAAGAAGAAATGTCAAGGCAGAATTGTTTTAATGCAATGTCCCGTCACCCATTGCGATCGAGGAAGCCGTGTTCACCATACACGTGTTCATCCACGAGTAATTACGGCTTTACTGTGGGCCATGTCTGCAGATAACTTGGTAGCAAAAGTCAAAATGATCCGAGTTTGCTCAAATCATAAGTAGTAGGCAAATATAAGGATAGAAAACGCATATGAACACACAGGATTGAGGTGGTAAGTGGAAATTTCAGCTTACTGGAAGGCAATTTAAAGCTACTGCGCGATTCGTTAATTTTGCAAACTCAGGCATCATGGCGAATTGAATGCGTTCCAGAGGATTGGTGACTGTACTGAACGCGTCTCGATGAGCTGCAGTCTGCAGTTTCTCATTCATCTCTACATTACGGTTTCGCAAAAAACGGCGGATATTTAAATGCTCTTGGATCGCAAAGGTGCATCACTCACGTTATTATCAAGTATTTTCTGTCACACAAGTAAGTAAGATGATCAGCATCCGCTATATAAAGTGATTGCCATAAGACCAATTAGGTTGCGATGATTGTCGCAGAGGACTGATAATGTGAAGGGCCTGAGACAACGCTCAACAAGTGAAGTTAACTATCTGAAGGCCTGATAAAATATTTGACTCTATGTTTTCTGAGTAACCATGAGCGACAAAAACTTGTTTGTTCTAACAAAGCACACCTCTCTAATTGTAATCAACAATCATTTAGATTTCGTCTTCGTCCTAATTTTAGCCAATGCTCGCAATAGTTATTAGTAAATATCCAAGTTTGGATGCCCAGCAATGTTAGAAATAGGATGCAATGAAATACGCTTACATTCCATAGCCCTCTGAAACTGCACTAAGAAGGAAAAAAAGGCAATGCTCGTACAGAGTGCATGTATTCTACTCAGAGAAGGTATAGGTTACTGACATGGCCCAAGGGTCAGCCCACCCCGCGAAGTATAACAGCCAAAATAAAGTGACTTCGCAAAAAAAAATAGGGGATACACAACCAAAATAATACAATTAAGCGTTTAGACACATATTGGGTCTCGCTGATATGTAATTATTCTGAGATAAAATAAAGTCCCTTCTTATCTTTTTCGGGTGTAAGTATTTACAACTTCAAAAAAATTACGCTGTTATCTATTATTTTATTACAACTAGCCAATTTAAAATTATGAAACTTTTGTTTTTATCTTTGGATTGTGTGATCTGTGACCTTTGAGAAGGTCGGTTCCTATATATATAAAGACTAATGGAACGGAAAGTCTGCTACTCTTGAATGAATATGCGCCTCTGGGGCATAGGTTGTCTCTGCCTAACGCTTCTGGCGATCAAATGTCTATGCCAATCTAGTGGTAATTTTTCTTTCTAATTTGTGTATCTTGCATAGGTCTAGTATAATAATGGTCTTGATATCACACTTACGGGATGTTGTTTGGAGAATTGTAGCGATTTTGCAATAATTTACATTTACACTTTGCTGTTTTTTGCATTTTCGACGTCTTTAACCATAAATAAAAGTGTACGGCCATCGTAATTGAGTTTTAGTGCCCCCTACTCCATGCCTAAATGAAATGTCTAGTTAGCTGTACTTTGGTACTTTTCAAACTGCCAGAAGAATATGGAGTAAATAATTATACAGCTTCCAGTATAAACAATTAATTTTGTCATGGGCTAAAAAGTTTCAGTGAATAATTAAAATAATATTATCTGCTGATACTTGCAATATAGAGTAATATATTTTTTTAATAATATTTCCATGAATTTATACAAAGTAATCTTATTTTGGTGAAATCTGAAGATGATAAGTTTTTTTTGGTAAAATGTTTCTTTTGCATTTTTTTAAACAATGCTAGCGGTCTCACTATTACATGGCAACAGTATCAGATATACGCAGAATGTGGGTGCGAGGCGCATTTACTACTTTACTTCATATGATAAACGGCTTGCGTAAATTTTTTTGTTACAAGATTGCAGCTGTCAATATAAGACTAGGACTCAAATAGTCCAACATCCCTCGTATGCTCCCATTTGGTAGATCCCTCTTTTTTATTTCTATTTTCTGTTTTAAGTCGCATCAGATGCCAGTTACACTTCTAAAGCGCGAAATGCGCATATCACACAAAACTTTGTTTCTTTTAGGTGCCACCGAATCTTCAGACAGTATTAAATCTACCACGTAAGTTTTCTACCTCTTTTATCTGTTATGCTTTAAAATGACTAAAAGTTCAATTTTTCTTTAAACACTTCTCACGCGTCTAAACCACTCCATTTGTGTTGACCTTTTGGATTAATGCTACTAGCCATTTGGAAACCTTGCATTTCACCGACCTAACTGCGTAATGATTTGATTCAATGTCTGACATCGCACTCGATAAAGATTCTCTTAGACTTGAAAAAGTCGCACTTATCTTATCTAAAATAATCGTAAAAATTAGCGTGCAATGAACGTTGCATAAAGCCGATTTCACAGACTTGAATATTTATCCCAAAATATTCTGTATAATTCTTTTTAAATCTAGGGGAAAATGAATTTTTTGGGCAGTACAAGGAATAAAATTAAAGCTTGGCGGAGCAGTACCTCTATCTTTGTAATCAGGAGAGCATTCGTTTTGTCAGTCATGTTTTTTTTTCAAAAAACACAATCAGTTTCTCAGTTGTAGCTGTGCATACTCCATTGGAATATATCTTGACATCAAAATCTACACAAAGGGAAAAACGTAACGAAACGAAACTGAAAGTGGATGGTCTTGTATAGGGAGGCTAGCCACTAAATCGGAAACTGCATACAGACATACATACATTAGCGCTTGCATATGTAGATACACACACCTGCGGAGAAAGAGATCATGACAAAGGCGAGCACTTCAGTGTAGTCTGCGATTCTAACATTGATCACGACGCATTCGCTGTGAATAAAGAATAAATGCGAACCAACCAAACACATTCATCAACTCAAGTGGTTAGCTACTTGTGCAGAGCCACTGAAGTGTTAAGTCATTGATGGTACTTGGATCGTTTACAGAAATAAATGCACACAAAAATTCGTCGAATGCAGTGATAAGTTGAATATGCCCAAAATGTCTTTGAAACTTTCTTGACTATCATACAATTGAGATGATGGTTTGTATTCTCCTGCGGTTCACTTTCTATTGCCATAACATGGGAATCGCGTTTTAATCTTATAGTAATCTACTGTTATCCCCTAGAAAAAATTTGCAAATCTCGTCTGTGAGCATGGAGATTATTCCATTAACTCACCTAAGAATTGTAGAAATAAACCTAGGTTTGAAGTAAAGGCTTTGGACTATCGGTACTGCAGCTTGGTACAGGAGTGGAAAGATTTCATGTATTTTTCCATCTTTTTTAAAGTTGTGCCTTTTTCTTTTTGATAACCCTATGTGGACACCATCCGCACTGCCAGTCTTCTTTATAATTAATAGTGCATAGTATTTGATAGTGTAAGAACAGGGATAATGCTCAACCTAAACTCTTCACTACCCGAAACACAATCATACTCAAGCGGAGTCAAAACGTGGTGCTACTTAGTGCCATGCTCATCAGAGCTGGAGATTCCCTTACGAATGGCTAGTAGACAGTCGATATAATCAACGCCTTTAATTTAATGAGCGAATTGTGTAAGTTGTAGGGTGGGTCAGAAAAGGTGCTTTGAAATGACTGATGCGTAAGCGAAGGCACACAGGGTGGATATGTGCGGGGATTGCATTGGCTCTATTTTTAACAAAAACAAACACAAGCACATTGAAACTGCCAATCTCTTGTGCTATTAAAAGCTTCAAGACAGCATTCAGATGGTCGAGTGCTGTGAGAGCCGTGGAGCAACGCCTCAAGCACCTGTACTTTTGCAAATAAGTGCCCGCAGATAATTGAGATGCAGCAAGATTACGCAAATGTGTGCATTAGTTTTGCTTTCAGGTTCCAAGTAAAAGACTTTAAGTTGATCGTAGTGGTTCGACAAGCACGCCAATTAAAATAATCCATTTACCTAATCATCTTGGATATATTCTTGTCGAAACCGTTTGCTTCTTGATCCCAATGTTATTTTGAGGATAAATTCTTAGTTTTAGGTAAGGATTATACTGCTTCAGTACTATTTTTTCCCCTAGGAATTCATCCTGAAGTTATCTACTTTGTTAACTGTGTATTTATTTCAGCGATCACTACGTACCAGTGACAATGTTGCCGGTTAAAATAATTTCATGCGAATTTATTATGAAGAAAATCTAGTCAAAATATACGATTATGCTTAAGACGATACCAAATAAGATAAGAAGCCAAGCAAACTAAACTGGCATGAGCCTTTGTGCATCTTCTACTTTACAGATCCACCCCTTCAACAAAGCCTTCAGGTTTGCGCCCACTAAAACTAACATACCATAACTTAACACTTTTTCACTTTACTATGACGATGCAAATAGCAACTTTTATTTACGTTCAATAGTGTTCAAGGAATTTCCATTGCCTAAGGTACCGATTTAGAACTGCACACTGTCTGCAGTGGCGATTCGATTCGCCAAATTGAATAAAGTACGAATTTATCCAGTCCTGAATGTGTGGTGCTCAACTCATACAGATATCAGATGAAACAAGTGTAAGCACATCGAATGGGAATTACCAGAGGCAATTCTAAGATAATATGGGGCTATTTAAACCTGCATCACTATTTGTTTCTTCCCTTATCCCTCGGATAATCGCTGATGAGGGGCATTCAAGGGTGATTGCTGTATGGACGATGCTCAAAAGTAGGGGAATGTGTGACCGCAGTCAAGGAGCATGAAGGAGATCAACACTAGTTACTGGCAAGAAGTGCGTCTGTGGTCACAAACACTCCGAATTAGACGTCGTTTTAGGTGAAGTGTTACTGTTTTGTCAAGATGACGGTCTTGATTACACAGCATAGGCAGCGTCGGTGATAAGAATGGCATTCAGCACACTAGGAGTCCTCTGAAAACTTTTAATGAGGCATGCACAATTTTCGTGGTCCCAAGCGTCATAGCGGCACTATTCCAATCCAAGGTGGGAAATACATATATATATATATATATTGTCCTGTGTACTGGCCCCCATAGTAAAGACTCAGTAGAATCGTAATGCCTGTCGATAACCCTTACTTTGATAGGTCGTCTTAAATAAAAAAGTGATATTTCACAGGATGCCAGACACAGGAATGCTGAGTTTAGCTGAGCATAGCGATTTGAATGAGGGATGTGTAAATTCACAGAGCCGTTACGCGTAAACTGTATTGGACGAATTGGCCAATGTGTTTAAGTTGGACCGCGAAAATAGTGTGTAAAAGCTGCGCTCCACAACAGTGATGTTTACAGATTTCCTTTCCATCATACTCCTCCGCAAAGTTATGGGATCTACGAGGTGCTTCATGGTAAGTAGGGCAGTTACTCCTACATTCGATTCTCATTACTTAACCGTCTTTACATCTAATTTTTCTCACTTTTCATCAAACTATCTCTTTCTACACAACGGCTATTTTCAGAAATTGATGCTGTCTTCCGATCATTGCTTAGGTCTCCTTCCTCCTGGTTTTCTCTTCCATTCGTTCCCTCATACATTTCTTAATACTTTCTTTGCATAGGCGCATGATTGAATTCCATGATCTACCCTCAAATCGTTTTACTAGGTTGAGGACAGTACCATTTTTCCCACCAGTTAACGAATCCATCCTATGTTGGAAAACCGCAATCTCTGAGCATCAATAGAATTCAGGGTGACTCAAGAGTCTTGTGTGAAACCCAAATAAAATGAATAGGCACCTGCATTTTCCGCTCATAGACACTGGCAGAGGACTTCGTGACTAAGAGTAACCAAGTAGATAATGAAAATTAAACAGTGATTGGATCAGTGATCCAATGTAGTGACATTGAGCGATGCTATAATATGACGCCTCACACTATACACAGTCATCGTCGTGAGTTATGGCTGTCAGTGTTCAAAGGAGGAAAATGAAATGTAATAGATTGGAGCACGTTGCAACGTAACTGAATACATAGCTACATTTGGGCGTCTCCGTTCCTTCTTCACATTACTATGCGATAGTGAAAACACTAACATTTCCTTTGATTTAGTAAGTGGTTGTGATAATAAATATGCTCTTCTGCTGCAACAGGTTGCGCCAGAATTCAACATTTAGCAAATAAAGGCACCAAAACGATTGTATATTAATAAAATATTTACAGCTTAAAGAATGAGTGAATACACTATATAAGAAGGTCAACAGAAAACCTGCAAAATTTGGCAATGTTGAGGCCATACAATACATCTTTACTAATATCTTAGTAAAGATGACTGAGCAGGGACATGGCACGTGATTCAAGGTTACGCAATTTATAACAAGCGGACAAATGTCAGCGTGGGCAATTATTTTATAAACACAGCAGCCTTCGAATATGCAAGAAGAAATGTCAAGGCAGAATTGTTTTAATGCAATGTCCCGTCACCCATTGCGATCGAGGAAGCCGTGTTCACCATACACGTGTTCATCCACGAGTAATTACGGCTTTACTGTGGGCCATGTCTGCAGATAACTTGGTAGCAAAAGTCAAAATGATCCGAGTTTGCTCAAATCATAAGTAGTAGGCAAATATAAGGATAGAAAACGCATATGAACACACAGGATTGAGGTGGTAAGTGGAAATTTCAGCTTACTGGAAGGCAATTTAAAGCTACTGCGCGATTCGTTAATTTTGCAAACTCAGGCATCATGGCGAATTGAATGCGTTCCAGAGGATTGGTGACTGTACTGAACGCGTCTCGATGA